ACGAATGTCTTCGATAAATATTTCGATGGTATTCGATCTACAACAACAACATAGTACTCTTTGTTACTATGTACAAAATGTTTTTGATGTTGCTGAAATATAACAAAATAAAATAATATTATTCAATTATTTTTCTTATTTTAAAATATACCTCGTGCATGTTCAAATTTATTGATCATAATCGTAAGTATTAATGGAAGATTTTCTTTTACAATTGGATTCTTTGCAATATCTGTTCGACGTATTAAATGATAACATGGTTTAGTAACACATCTTTCAAAGAATAATTTCAATAAGTAAAAAAAAAAAAGAAAATATATGATTTGTTTTTTTATTACTTAACAAATTGTTCATCAATGATTGAAGGATCCCATAATGGTTTAATATGTGATCGAATAATATCACAAAGACCTTTTAAACATTTATCTCTCAATGAATCAGATGTTAAACTTGATTTTTCATAAGTTTTCGATGCTTTAGCTTTTTTGCGTTTCTATTATAAATAAATAAAATTATTTTCATAAAATAAATTCATTAATAAATTATACTTTCGATGGAGGCATATCAACATCTAGTGATTTATTTGTTTGATCATTATCAAATCGAATAATATATTCAGCAATAAGACATGAAAGCATTTTAATAATATTTAAATGAAAACGTCGATCATCAATTGAAAGATCACGATGAATTTGTCTTTGAACGTCAATCATTTCAAGTGATATTACTATTTTAATAACAACTCTTATTAAAAACATATACATTTTGAACTTCTAAAGTGATTTCATAATTTTGGTAGTAATAGTTTTACTCGCCGTAGTCCGGTTTAAGAGATCGTCACTGATTGGTCGTTGAATAGGAATAGTATTGACTGAACATAATCATAGAAACATATATGAAGACAAAGACCGTTGTCATCATTTTAGACTATACTTCTTTATTATTAACATCATTTGATATTTTATTCTAGAAAAACAAAGACGAATGTCTTCGATAAATATTTCGATGGTATTCGATCTACAACAACAACATAGTACTCTTTGTTACTATGTACAAAATGTTTTTGATGTTGCTGAAAT